AGGAGAGGGGAAAGGGGACACGGGAAGTGTAACGCGGCAGAGACAGAAGGATAGACGGAGACGCGGCGGTCGAGCTGGTGGAAGTGGGACAGCGCTAAACGGAAGCGAGAAGAAGCGAGCGGGACGGAGCGAGAGAATGCGACGAGGGCGAGAAGGAGAGAGCGAGGGACCGTAGCCGAGTTCGGCCAATCGGGTCGCGCGGCTCGCGCCTATCGGGCGTGTAGGGTGGTTTCACGGCGCCCCGCGCGTCATTCGTCGACTCGCCTCGGCCGGCGTCGAGCTCGTTGCGCCCGATGAGGAGGTTAGGTCGTACGTTTCTTCGCGCCACTGAGACACCTCGGACTCCCGGTGAGAACGATCTCGACGTGCGCGCGTGAGAAAGGAAGAAAGGAACTCCGAGTGCCGATTCTCACCGTCACGCTTGTGATATTCGTGCGCGCGCGTGTGTGCCCGCGCGTCTCGACGGCGCGCGCGTGTTCCAAACGTATAAATAATGTCGAGCAGTGTGTGTCACGCGCCCCTGCCAGCACGAATGGAAGCGTTCACCACGAGGCTCTGCCTGCGTGCGGTCGATCAGTATGAGCGACTTCTGCAGACGCACTTCAACAAGGTACGCGGCCCGGATCATCCCCCGTGAAGGTTATTCCCTGTTACTCCCTTTTCCCTCCCTCCCGTTTGACGGAGTATCGACGTGCGTAAGGAATTAATTAACCGAGGATCTTATTTTCTTTGTTAATTTTAATCTCGTTTCAAGCTTCCTGACTTTCTGACTCATCGAGCACGTGGCATTGAACATTCTTAAACCTTCTTAACTGTTCATTCCGTCATAAACGCCTCCTTTCCATTTTTTTCACTCCAAGAAAACCATTCAAATCGCAAGAATAAATGATCACGTCGAATTTAGGCTACCTTAGTTTAATGAATTTGTGGGTAAGGTGTAGTGTAACCTCGATTCTCGCTAGATCATATCGTAATCTAGATATCTATCATGTTAATTTTTCCCTGAGGAAAACATGCAAATTTTTCCTACTGAAGATAACGGAAGAAAAATTTTCATATTTTTTTTCCCCCCTGGGGAAAAAGTTACACGATCGGTATCTTGACCTGCCTGACAGACGTCACGCTCGCAATTCCCCCCCCCCTCTCCCCCGATTTCCACGAGCTCGGTTCGTAACGGCGGTACGGTGTCTGTCGTTCCTAAAGGTCCGTCCCTAAGATCCCTCCAGGACCTTAAGGCACGACTCGCATGTCGCGCGACCGACGATTCGAAATTTCTTATGGCGCGCAAAGTTATTCGCGACGCATCGCCGGAATGCGAGGCATGAGATTACCGCGCGCGAACGGCATGTTGTGTAGCCACGCAGCTGTGTCTACACGCTCTAGATTGGCGTAATCGACGATAACCGGGCCGACTCGCGTCGTTTACGAAACGACGCCGGGAATGTCAGGCGCGTTTCTCTTTGAAATTCGCGATCACCGATCGGCCGACCGACGCGAGGCACGATCACCTGGGCCCTTATTCCCGAAACATATCACACACGAAAATCCTATACGTAATATATATATTATGGGATTTTGGTACAGGATATGTTTCGAGAACAGAACCCCTAGGCTACGCTCAGAAACGCCAGCCGTGAGCGACTCCGTGTGTATTATTTTATCCTCGTTGTTCGCTGAATGTTGTAAACAAGGATAAAATGACGATACACGAGGCGTGTTCGAGTGATGTTTCCGGTGTCTGCTCTGGACACGCCGACGGAATCGTGTAATCCTTTGATTTCCGTTCAACGGAGATCGTTGACCCGTCGCATCCGCACCCCGTTTAACATCATGGATCCCGTGTGTCCGTGATTTCATCTCGTTCGACGAGCAATCGTACATCCATACAGGGTGTCTTGAATGAAGATGCGGCAACGTGCGTTTGCTTGTAATCGAGATTAATTCGTGATTTACCGATTAAAGATTAATAGCTATAATAGCTATAATAGCTAGATAGATAGCGCTAGATCACTCATAATTCATCCTGTTTCAGGAACACGTGTTTTCTTAGAACATTCGTAATGCAGATAAAGATATTAGAAGATATTAGAAATGAAGCAAAGCAAGGAAAAGAACGCAATAGAGTGAAATGACAAGATAAAAAAATGGAGCGAGATAAGAAGAGATATCCTCTTTAATCCGTGAAATATAATAATAACATGTAATAATAAGTAATAACAATAATAGAAATATGGATACGCAAAAAATGAAATGAAATAAAATAAAGGAAGAGAACGCGATAGAGAATGGAATGGCAGGACGAAAAAATAACGATAAATGGAGCAAGATAAAAAGACACATCCTCTTTAATTCGCGAAATATAATAATAATTATTAATAATAAATAATAATAACATAAACATAAATAGGTAGAAGATGAAATGAGATAAAGAAAAGAACGTGTAAGAGAATAGAGCGGGAGGGGAGAATGAAAAAGTAGCGATAAATGGATCAAGATAAAAAGAAATAGCTTCTTTAATTCGCAAAATATAATGATAATGCATAATAATATGTAATAAGCCGCACGTGTATTAAAATGCACGGTTTCACCGTTTAAACCGTCATAAACCGTGCGGTCGTGTCACCGCATTCTGTCAATGTTTCGATCAGATATCTCTTCCTGAATTTATCTTCTTAAACATTAGGATACGTGCACAAAATTTCTCGTTTTAAAAACGCGGGCAAGAAAAAGCGAGAGAGAGAGAGAGAGAGAGAGAGAGAGAGAGAGAGAGATATAGAAGAAGAAAAGAAGAAATAACAACTACGACACAGCGTGGCGAC